AAAGAAAGAAAAAAACAGGAAAAAAACAGATCTTTTACGTTGCAGTCGTAGGATTCAGTTTAGCCCATTTTGTATGCCTTTTCTGCAGTGCTGCATTCTGAAAAGGAACATATAGAAAACAGACTTTGGAATAATATCTGTGAAGAAGCTGTGATGGTCTAATACAATCTCTGATTACTCTTAAAACTTTGACTGCTATAAATAAATCCTTAAGCATAAAATGATTTTATATTCCTCAATGTAAACATGGCACCTTCTATGTCCTTGTCAGATCTCCCCATGAGACTTAAGCCCTTTCTAAATTCTTCTGTCAAATGGCTTGCAAATGCCCATTAACTATAGTTACTGAAGAATCATAAAAAGAAAGAGTGTTTTCTTTGGGATTTTCTGAATGTTGGTGTTCTCAGAGGCCAATTGGTACTCATGCAAGCAGGGATATTCACTGAACTCTACCAGAAAAATCATCAAATTTATCATTATTTTATCGTAGTTCCTATTTCTGGACAGGTGTGATTTAGTCAGTACTGATCCAAATGTGTTGCTGGATGGAATGCCTACCATTAAAGGTTAACTTTCAGGTTGATTCTGTTTCACTGTGGAAATACACAGAACTTTGACTGTCTTTAGGCTGGCATTTCACAAGTGCTCACAAACCTTACACTATAATTAGCACTGGGCATCTCCTAATATAAATCATGTTTCTAATATTTTTCCTATGCCTAGAGAAACTCCATTTCCTATATCCTACTAGTAGTTGTTGACACTAGAAGGAAATTCTCACTTTCAGTTTGTGGACATGTCAAAAGAGAGAAACTCATTTCCTCTGAAGCTCTAGGACCGCTTTCCAGGCTATCTTATAAAATGCAGAATTATGCTGCAGGCAATAAACACTTTCAGCATTCCTTTGTCTATTGTGTTTATTTCATATTCCTTAAAAAAAAAAAAACAACATCTTTGCCATAGTCAACTAAGCTCTTTGTATCAACATTAAAAGCTAGGTTTTGCAAATTGATGAAACAGGTGTTTAACCTTCATCTGATGGAAATAAATTTCGTGATACTTTGTCAGCCTTGAGAAATAACTAGGCCATTACAACCAATTGCTGATTTAGGAACACTTGGTAAAAGACTTGTGTCTAAGAATTTGTTGATGATTTCAGTATTTGCACTGCCTATAGTTTTGTATATCTATAATCAATAATAATTTCATTCTAAGTTATTGATTATAACAGCAGACAAAATTTTAAAATATCAAATAATTGAGAATTGCTGGAGAAAAGAAGAATAAAGTATGGCTTTCAAAGCTGTCTTGCTCAAGTTGGAACAGATGCTCCCCTGAGCAGCACTGACCAAAAAAAGGAAAAATGCTGTGTCAGTTCCATTTCTTTGATTGAGTAACAAAACCAAACCAAACCAAACCAAAATAAAAATACCAAACAACGAAACCAAAACAAAACAAAACA